CCAATAATGGACACAACACGTTGCAGACACTATTAATAGTTATCTTTATACTTAAATACAACCCCAAAAGTGTGGACGTGGTGAACCATGTAACAAACAGCTCATATAGATAGGTTTAACGGCGGTGGAAGCCTTATATACATGTAACTTATACTATTCAAGGGTCCGTTGGTCATTATGAACAATTAAAGGGCATGAATCAACATAAGGAATAGCACAGTATATTGATACCTTTAAGCAATTGACTTTTTAGAAGGCAGGTGAGACGGAACGTCCCAACAGGGGAGGAATGTTTCTCCATACTTTCAATATCATCCAAATGTAAAATACATGGTGAGGAATTCTAATCGGATTTCAATTAAGGAACTAATTGTACCTTAGCTTGGTTGAATATATCCATCCAAGGACGTATAGATGGTGGTACTGTACCAACCGAAACAGTGATGATTTTTAAACCTAGAGTCTGCAATTATTCAAAAAGAAAACATTTTGTGATTACTCCACATGCTGCTTCAATCAATGTAGTTTTGCCGCAAAATGGGGGACCATTAATCAACAAAGATGGCCAAACCGGTAATCCTATATCGGAAAGTAGGTGGCATGCGAGAAAGCCTTTTATTTGCCTCTAAAATATTTGTAGAAAAATATAAACTACTTACTCGTAAATCCGCTGGAACTGTGTGTCTGATATCCGATAACGTTGAAGAAACACATCGAGCAGAAATAGATTCAGCTAAATGTAGGAGTCAAATCTATACATATGTTTACTTGTTGATTCCAAGTTCGTCCTGGAACGTTTACGTGGAAGCTTTCTGTCTAAATCTACTGACATATCTAATTTAGGAAACTCAGATTCGTCAGCCATGATGGGTGAATCTTTTGGAACAGGACTGACCATCGTACGAGTATTCACTAGTCTTAATGCTAAGCAAGATAAAAAAGCATAAACGTATACCTTTGCAAGCATCTTTGCGCCATAACTTCATATTAGATCTATTACAACTTGTTGACTTGTCTCGAATTATGTAGTCTGAAAACTCATCCACAGATGAAGAGTCAACAGAAATCTTTACAAACTATAGGACAATAAACCAGGATTTGCCAAAATATACCTGTTCAGCAAGTGGAATTAGATACGTCCGTTGGATTTGTGGAGAACCATATCCACATCCTGTATCGTTCATAATGTAGGCTCTATATGAATAACAAGAGTTTTAATTCCCCAATACAGAAAACAATAACTTATTGTTTACTCGAAAAGGAACCCAAAATAACAAAAAACGTTCAACAATTGCTAGTGACTTTTTTGCTAAGTAATTTCATCAGAATCCTAGTTAATATTTTGAAACCATGGTGACATAAACCTAACACATCTTAAAAACCAAGGAATATTTCGCTTAAAAATCCTCAATTCGACCAAGAAGCTTCGACATCATGGAAGCCTGACAGGCAAAAACTACATTACATTTTGTTTAATCAGAGGATAAAAATATTTTCATCACCCATATGGACGACGGTGCTCAGCACGCTAAATGAAATAGTATGAAGAAATTGTGTTCTGTCTAATTCTAGTCTTCTTAATTCTCCATGTTCCTTTTTCTCTCTTTCCAAATTTATTTCACTGGATTATACTCCTAGAATAACATTTTCAAACCCTAATCTTTCCGTTTACTGTTTGTACTTTTACTACTTCTACCACTATTGTATTTGAACCGACAAATGCACCTCTGTGCTAATGTGGTATGGCAACTCTAACTGATGTACGTATGTACGAAGTTACACGTTGTTACATATGTAACTTCTGAATGCACATCGTATATTTAATTTGCGTTTTACCTGAACAATAATTCCAGGAAGTCGTAAGTTCCACTGTTTTTTTTCTCAAATTAAAGCCTACTAACGACGAAGGCTACAGTGTAAACTCATTGCAAGTAGGATTATATATAGTCAGTTCATTTATAACTAAAACAAAAGATTTAACTGAGAGAATGAACCAATCACTAAAAGTTCACCATTAAGAACCCGTAAGCAGTACATGGACATTTCGTGGTACTAAGGGACGAAACAACAATCTTCGCAACCCTATGTCGATCTGTATAGGGATGTCAATAATGACGATTTGACTATCAGAATAATTGCTGCGAGCGGTAAAAACAGATTACGATGAAGTAGCAACACAAAAGCATCAATATTTGATACCATGAAGGATATGAATTTACTTAAAGATCTAACTTTACGGAAATTCACCAACCCATTATTCATATTGTACACAGACATGACAACTAACCTTCAAATCATGCAAGAGTTTGAATTAAACGAAGGTCATTCAGACTCCAAACATCAAACATTGCTATGTAGAAGTTACATTTAATTCTTGCTCATGTGGGATGGAAAAATATCCTTTATGCCACACTGCTTTATAAATCGATAGTTCAATCAATTAGCTATTAAAAATTGGAGTGATGAGGGGATAACAATTTGAATAACATTAAACTCCGAAGTTGAAAGATATTAGCTAACAGTTATCAGATATTTTAGTGGCGGATACTTCCCAGCATACTTGTATACCAGTTACTTTGAGGGTTTATTTTACGATTAGACAGTCTGTTTATTCTACTTAGCGTTGTTTTAGAAAGGTCGTCTTCTACGGGATGGGGTTCCAGACCCCATGACAAAATCTCCTTCTTTACCCGGGCTTACAACTGGTAGTAGCCTCAGAAATGCTATAGGCGACTAGACTGCACCAGTGGTCTATTGGGATGATTATCTGTTATCCCTAAATGCACCAAAATATATGCCACAGATATTTCGGACGTTACAACGCTTTTTGCGTGACAACTTTAGAACCACAGATCACAAACACAATCAAAACAGAATTCGGTAACGGACGAGCCTAATCATATAACACACATATCACGCACTCGACAGTTTTACAAGTAGTATCCTTTGTCTCTACCTACCCTTACGTTCAAATAAACTGTCACCACAAACGTCAACGCCTTCTTCTTTAGTTACCTTTAAGGTGATATTCGTATTGAGTCTCTCAACTATTATCAACCGATTTTCTCGTATCTGCAGAAGATAAGTGATCTGTGGTATCTAGAACTATGTTAAGCCTACATGGGTTTTTTTATCATCCGTACAAACCATTTTGTTTATTCATCTGTTGTCACAAATTATATATCTAGACCGATTGACATAGTTGGATAATATGTCTTATTGTTTGAAAAGCATTCTAAAATATATTTTTGGACGAGGTGAAGCAGATTTCTTGTGTTTCTGTGTTTTTTAATTTGTCAGTTAGTATGATAGAAACATATATCGTAGACACTTTGTGGCTCACAGAAAGCATATTAGTTTTTCTAATATGAATAACTGTAAAAAATGTAGGTTTCAAGAAGTTCTAGAGCGAGTTACTCAACACACAGTTCATCACAGTAAGTATTCGTATGAAAATGCTGTTGGTATAATTTGTACACTCAGATTGATGGAGAAATTAGAAACAAGGATATTGAAATGACAACTTAAAAATTTGGTGAGTTAGGATCACAGTGAAATAAGAGATGAGATATTTATTTTTCAAACACAGAGATCAGGATTGAACTAATAAGTTGCTAATGTTTATGATATAGACACACTCTCTTAGAGTCAGTTTGCTTGGCGCTATCAATTAGTTAGAGTATTAATTCTAGATGGTATGGCTGATATGAACTGAGCAGGTGCCCTGAAGTGAAGCTGTGGAATATCTTCACTTCGCTTTCGGATAACGAAGAAGAGTATTGATCACTTATAGGTTTGGAAAGACCGCTCTTATTGGAGACAACGTTGTCTGTTCAGAAGGAGCTAGTGAACAAGTAGTCACGGATAGAGACTCATCGTCATTATTTATTTTTTACACAACCTCAGATTAAGCTATAACCCCATTATTATTTCAGAAATGCTATAAACACCTGCTTTTTCTCCTGTTTTTTTACAATCTTCATGTAAGCAACTATCTTTTACATTTTACTTCCATGTATTATTCTGACTTTATTATTGAACCTTCAACTATTACAAAACTTGAACCTGATAGCTGGAGAAGAAGTATTGATAAAGTTGTAGTAATTTAGTTAATGATTCAAGATCCTTTAACTCTGTTATAGTCTACTATATATACAACAACTGTAATTACAATTTTACAAATTTGGTAAACAAAAGAAAAATTTCCTTACTGAACAGTTTTTTATATTCTAAACTAATACTATAGAATATTTCAATATAGATGTAAGATTTAAGTAGAATATAAAAAAGCGTACAAATACTTATGTTCAGTTGGAAGTGTTTCTCTTATATTATAAGTATACTAAGAAGCAAGATTATATTTGAAAAATATACTTTCCATTTTCTACCACCCCAATTATATTAATCTTAAGAGAATGACTTGTATTTATTTTTCTAATTCAAGGGTTATCATTAACTAATAATAGAACTGTCTCATTACCAATTAAGAAAAAAGAAAAAGAAAACTGTATTTAACAATCAATATAAGTCTACTTTTATTCTTGTCAATCATGTTTTATTATTACTACTCAATGTATGGAATTTATAGTAAGCTAAGTAACTTATATGTTGATCTGATTAGATACTAAATAAAAAATTCATACTATTCAATGATCTGTTAGTCAGATCAACTTTCTAATGATCCGTATGTTTACATTAATTTCACATAATAATAATAATAATGACAGTTTAAGGCAATTTTTAATTTAATTTTAAGATTTGACAAATTTATTTTTGATTGGTTAATAATATGATGATATGAGCTTATCTATTCATCATTGAATATTTAATCGCCTACATGATCAAATCATGTCTGATATAATTTGAAAAGATTGACATTAAAATTAAGGTATATAATAAATTATTTTAATTTTTTAAATAATAGTCAAAGAAATTTTACTTTTGTCGATATGATCCAGAACAATGTACAATTATGAATAAACATTGAAATAGTGACTAACATGATTAGATTTATTAAATTAATGGTAAATTTAGTTTATATTTTTGTAATTTATAATAGTTAGTTTTATTACATGGGTTATTTACATCATCTTCATATAATTTAAAAGGTATAGCTTTGGAAAAAGCGAGAGATGAAAACATTCGATATCCTCTTATACTAATACATGGAATTGGTGGAACACAAGCATTATGTAAACCAACTGACAAACAATCACATACGAAACCATTTACACTTTGGGTTAAGTTACTTTATTTTTTGATCCCGGAAAAATTATTCACTTATATGGGGTAAAATAAATTATTATGTAATATTTTCTATTTATATAAAACAGATTAATTTATGATCCGAAGACAAAACAAACGAGAGACAGAGAGTTGTGTAATGTTGAATTCCCTGGTTGGGGTGATACTTGGGCTAGTGAATATTTATCTGAAGAAAAATATCCATTAACAAGTTATATGAAGTCACTTGTTCAAAGTTTAACAGAGGACAAATTTTTTGTGCGAAATAAAACAATACGTTCTGCACCGTATGATTTTCGCAAAGCGCCAAGTATATTTTAAAAAAGAATGAAAAACAAAGTTTCACCGTTCTTTTTTTAGATGAAAACGCAAAATATTTCGTCAAATTAAAGGAATTGGTTGAAGAGACCTATGAAAATAGTGAAAAATGTCCAGTTTACTTATTGGGCCACAGTTTAGGATCATTGTACTCAATGTATTTTTTAAAACTGCAAGATAAAAGATGGAAACATAAATATATCAAGGGATTTATATCTGTGTCAGGTCCTTTTGGTGGATCTGTTGAAAGTTTGTATGCGGAAACCTGTGGTGAGTCAAAAAATTACTAGAACCATGCCTAAAACTTAAATCTTTATTGTATTGTTTTAGTATTTCACTAGAGACAACAACATGACAAGTAAAGAGGCCAGTGTATATTGTTGAATGTGATGTTTTACGTCATAAATTAAACTTATCTGGACAAACACTGGAAAGTAGGAGGCATTGGACAGATGATATTAGAAATGTAAACCATTAGATTGTAACCCAGCGGTCTAAAGTTTAAGTTCTATCAACTTTTTTCTTTATCTCATAGATTCAATCTCTGATATAGTCATGTATATACGTCGCTTAGAATTCTCATACTGTCGCGAAACAGCTACTCAACACTGTAGAGTTTTTAACAGTTGTATAGCGAAAGTCAATCCTTGGTGTGAAACTGCAAAAGTATATATGAACTATTATACGTCTTAAAGGTCTAAGAAATGTAATACTGACAGATCAGTTTCTGTTTCATCTAGCTTATGATTGTCTAGTCAACTTAAGTCAAGCTGTCTTATCAGGACTTTTTGGTATGAGCCCTCACGATTAACATAACCTTTACTTAAAGACGTTGGGTAAAACGGAACGAAATCGACAGTGTTGTCGTAGAAAGGTTACGTCTATGACTACGCACAGATTACGGGAACATATTTTCTCTATTATAAATTTATTTCTTCCTTTCGAATTATGTTCGCAATGTTTAGTCTTTTTTGTTACTATCGGTGATAGTTATAATGGTCTAGTATCCATCTTATCGTGCTGATGCAGTGTAATAACTCTAATCATTGTATATTTGTGCCAGGTTGTTACATTTTTTATGACAAATTGGTTTACCGAGTAAATATTTTAATTTATTCAAATAGATAAATTTTGAATATGGCTGAAATAGTCGACTAGATGAGGAAAGAAATATCTACAATAAAACTATTTTCCGAGGTATTAAAGAAATTGGGAAAGCTTAATGCAGCCTCTATGTAAGAAATTGATTCAATCAGGTTTGTATTATCAGTTTTACAGCTATGACAGTTGGAAGAGAGCTAATGTTGTTTGATAGTTTTAGTTCAGTTACACATTTGAATTGTTTATTTATCACTCCCAAAGCCGTCCCCACATTATCATTATTATTTATTTATTTCGACATGATAATATTTGGGAATGAACACATTTATCACTGAGTAAAGGGTAAAGATTAAAACAACAAGACAGTTTTCATGCAAGGAAGTTATCCGAATTTGTAGACTGTTTAAAAAAATGCATTACAGGTTGTTAAAATATTTTGGTAATGTAATTGAATATAGATCGTTTGAAATTATATATGATCATCATATGCATAAGAATAAATTTATTATATCATCATTCAATTTATAAATAGTAATTAAATCCTGATGCCAGTAAATGAAATGGAATAAAAGAAATTGATAAAGAATAACATTAATGGACTCTTCGAATATTCTTTACTCTATTTTCAGGTCATAACTTCGGAATTCCATTTCGTTCTCCACTAGCATTTCGTGACATTGAAAGATCATTTCCCGCAATGACATTTCTTCTACCAGATCCACGTGTGTGGTCAGCAAGTGAGAAGTTCGTTATAACTCCGAAAAGAAATTATTCAGCACATGATATGAAAGCATTTTTTAATGATATTTCTTTCCCTCAAGGCAAGTAAATAAATATTTGATATTGAGATGGTGAAATGGATTTGTGACTAGGGTGAATGATTTTGGTTGAATTTTTTCTCTCTGAGCTTGATGGTTTAGTCGTGAAGCTTTCATCGTTGATCTAAAAGATGTCATCAGCACAAACTTCATGTAGACTTTACTTCTACCTGAAGTTTGTGCTCATGATATCGTTTAGATCAACGATAAAAGCTTCACGACCATTTACTTGGTTTGTAGATCCATCATCCTAGTCTCAACTTTTGACTAGGTGGCGAGTACGCATTGCTATTTAGTCATCAACTAAATGGAAAAAGTCATCCAGTACCCAATGGACTTCAATTGTTTTCTAGTTATTTTCAATATATAACTAAAAGTGTATTATGTTTTGTGAGACGTTTATGACAGTCTCGTTAAGCGAATTCATTCTATTTTGATTTTTTTTATATTTATTTGTTCAATTGATTAATGATTTAGGTTATTTGATGATGAAAGAAACCAAAAGTCTATTTAATCCATCTGAAAGGCCTACTGATATTGAAGTTTACTGTGTTTATAGTTTTAATATTCCAACAATATTACAGATGATTTTCAATATTCCAGGACCACATCGTTCTGCCTTTCCCAATCAGATACCAAAATTAAAATATGGTGATGGTGATGGTGTTGTACCGTTAAAAAGTTTATCTGTTTGTAATAAATGGAATTATGTTAATGTAGTTGTGTTGGAACAAAGTTCACATGAAGATATTGTACAAGATGATCGTTTTATTAAATATTTGAAGAAATTACTTATTAATGATTGACTAAATATATTAAAGTTTATTTGACATTATATAACATTTTTCAATGTGAATTTTAATTACTTAACAATTCATTTAAAACTCCCTAATTTATTTTTTTCAATTTCGTCTGGCTAATTTAAACCCCTATAATAAAGTATAAAAATTTACTATTGTACAGAAATTTTGAAATTCACTTATATTGTTGTGGTGTTTGGATGAACTAATGATTCCTTTGTACTTGTTGAATGCTTGATTTCAAATTCTAAATACAGTACATTCGTTCGTGCTTATCTGGTACTTCTTGATTCAATTGCGTTATTTCTGGGATTCTTAGTTCATACTATAATTCATATACTCTTGATTATCACAGTTGTTCTGTTTTTAAGTGTTAATTTATGTATCGTCAAGTATTTTCATACAGTTGTATAGAAATCATCGAATGATGAAAAAAAATGAAAAGAATTTACTTATTCTATAATCGAATTGTGTAGCAATTAAGATGGTGTAGAAGGTTTGTAACTCAGGTGGATGATTTTGATGCAGTTTTGTTCTTTGAGCTGAATGGTTTGGTCGTGGAACTTTCATCGTTCTTCTGAACGAAATAATCAGCACAAACTTCACTTCTATTTGAAGTTTGTGCAGTGTAACAATTGGTAAAATGAACAAATTAACACTTCACATGTGCTCAGTATTATTTGAACTTGTAGTAATATTATTTTAGAATATGAAATGAATAAATGTTGAGTGAAAAATAGTAAGATGAAGTAGATATTGATGCTATGTAGTAATGTGTAGATGTGATGGTTAGAAGTATTTGAATTATTGTGCGAACTAAAAATCCAAGAAATAAAGCAATTTAGACTAAGAAGAACTAGACGAGCACGAACAGACATATTGTATTTGGAATTCGAAATCGAGCAGTCGTTAAAAGAAACATTATTTTATACAAACACCACAGTGGGTTACCGTTTGATCTCATATTCTTTTCAATCATGTGGTTAACACTTCATTTAAATTTAATCATAGGATTATTAATAAAATTTGTAAGCATATAGAATCATAGATTTGAAAAATCTTATTATTTTGAATTTTTGTACTAGAAATAAACGTAAATTATACAATCTAATTACTTATAATAATAAGATCTCACATGTAAGTTGCTTTATAATGAATACTCAATCAATTTATTATTGTTTTTAAATGATGATTGACAAGTTGAAAAATGTTTCGTTGTCAGCAGACGTAGACGTGATTTTACTAAGTTTAGTATAATATTAAGGTTTAGTTCACTTATCGACCAATTATAAATGCATATGGTTAGTTCTGAGTAAAGAGAACCCATTTTGTATTTGTTGATGGACTGTTGAAAAAAACCTCTTTCTCACTAAACCATCAACACAAAGTTTACATTTAATTTATCATTTAGTTACCTAATTACAGTAGGTGATGGTGTTCCAGACATTTGAAGTTGGTCAAGCATTATCTAGTAAAGTTACTATGGATTTTCTTAAAGTGGATTCCATGTTTTCAAGGTACACAAACCCACCGCATGGATATGAATGCGTGGTGTAAATGTTACCCCTTGGCGTCGCACGATAGGACAAGTAATGTATACTCACCCTGGGCAAATATAGTCTATATACATGCCTGTAACACATAAGGTTTCATTTATGCTTCCCATAGTATATATGTAGATATATTCACCCATCCGCGACAATAGATGACCGCCGTTCTCTTTCAAACGTATTTTCTACTACTGTCTGTCACTTACATATTATATTAATATTACTTGTACAAGGGGTTTCGCCCCTGCATTTCATGACATACATGCCCAAGTTGGTTAGCAAGGTTGTCTCTACCACCCATCAGCTCTACAAGGAGGCCTTAGGTCGAGATTTGCTGCCTAAATAAAGTAGTAAGCGTGAATTCATGTTAAACCAAATACGATAACAACAATAACAATAAGTGATTCAACTGCTGAATAGGGAAAACACCAAAATCAGAATAGTTTTAGTCGTAATATGAAAGATATGATTTAAAATGAAGTAATTGAAAGAAGGAATGAATGAAAAATCTTTCAAATCAAAGTTTGAGTTGAGAATCAAGGTGAGTTGCTTTTGGCCCTTATAACTGATTTTGATTTATGTCATCACGTTGGCCTCAGTTGTGCGATCTGCAGCTATCATTATGGTCTTGACTATTAGACAAAGAAATATGGAACAGGTAATACGTCTTGATTCTTTCGACCTAGCGTTCTCCTACCATGATCCTATCACAGCCAACATTGATTATAGATGTAGGCAGAAGATAGTCAAAAGTAATATAAGTTCTAAATACCTCAGTCGATGTTAATTTACAGCTTCATCAACTTATTTGTAATCCTTTTTATTTGAATAGTCAAGCTGTATTTTTGTATTCTTGATATCTGAATAGGAATACTGAATTTTGCTGTTACGAAACATAATCTTTTTAAGTAAAGTCATTTAATCACATATTTTAATATTTATTACTGATATTCTAGAGTAATTAAATTTATGGATTAAACAGCTTTAGAAAGCATAAGATAATTTTTCAACGTTATTTTACATTTTCCACTTGTGTAATTGATAATTAAGCACAGAAAGCTTATCTAAATCTTTCCAATTTTCTTCATCCCGATGGTCTCTAATATATTTATTTTAGACTTCTGTATGCTATTTCTGATTTCTAACTATATTCGAAATCTCTTCCTTATACTTATTATTCTTTTTTACCCTGATTGTAAATTAACTTATGTTAATTGTATTGAATTCAATACACGTTTTTCGAGTTATCGATAATGTTTGTGGTACATTGATTTTCACTAAGCATCTTCAAATCACATGCCGCCTGTGGAATTCTTCAGATTTTTTTATCTTTACATGTTGTGAAATGAATAATTTATTTGTGCTTTATCGTATATTTTAGCTAGCATTAGTAAGAAGTATGTTTCTCGTTTCGAAGTAAGAATACACGTACTGTATGCTATATTGATCATCTAATCTTTTGTCTTCCCGTTGTTTTAATAAATTCCTTATAATCTGCACATAAAGTACTAAATATTTTCGTGAGTTAATTCTGAATCTAAACTCAAAATTCTTATGAGGCTTAAAAACGGTTTCTTCATAATTCTCAATTACTTGTCAGTCAAATGAATAATTATTTCTCATCATTAGCTCATTGATTCATTTAGTGAAATGGCTGCCACATACTGAGTTGACATAAAATAATTTGTGAACTAATTTATTTGTTTTGACAAAGTGGCTTACATTTAGTTAGAAATGTCAACAATCCAAATTTCTACTGTTCGCGGTAACACGAATATACAATTATTTTATTACAGATTTCATTTTTTTTCCAGCTACATTTTGTTGCTTCCTTGTTTCTCTCTGTTACTTGAATTTAAAATCACCTATATTGACATAGATTTACTTAAATTTACATTTGTAACTTCTACTTAACTGAACTATTCTATATCAAAAATTGATGTGTCATTAAACCAACATTTTGGTTTCATTAATTTTATAGTCAGTATCATTCTCTAATGCAATTTGCCTCAGCGTCCAGTTTCCGAGTTGCATCACTCTTATAATTTGACATGAAAACATTTCCAACCAATCACTTTCCACATTAAAGAGCGATCTTATTCTAACGTTGTTTAATGCATCGAGTAGCAATACTGTATAATTATATGGTGTTTATATGAAATGATAAGTGCTCAGTGTCTAGCTACGCGCTTCATTCTGATCACAGTACAATAACTTATTTGTGTGGTCGTCAGTTTTTATCTGCTAGAATATGTTTTGAAAAGTCATGGGAATATTTTTGTACTACTAATTATTCGGACTTAATTAAATTGTTTAAAGATGAACGTAATCGGTTGTCCTTTTAAGAGATATTATGGGGATCCGTTACCTCCATTGAGTTTTTTGGTTTTCTAAAAAGACTGTTTCCGTCAATTTGTTGATGGAAGTGTCATCGAATCACAACCCCAAAAGATGTGTATATGATAACATAAAACGATTTGAACAAAAAAATATGACATGACTGGGAATGTGATTGGAACAGTTATGTCTAAACTCAGTCGGTCGAAAACGTTTACAAGGAATCATGATTTGTAATGCACTGCTCAACTAAAATAGCTTGTGAAACAGGTTCGGCAGTTATATCTTTGAAAGGTAAAGCTTCACAGCATAGTATAATCATGTCTATAGATGTTAATTAGTAATCAAATGTATTCATTGGATTCTGTGCTTATCAGCCCGAGCCGAATGTACAATCCTTCAAGTCTTTATTCGTTTCAGCCCAGTGAAGTGAAAATACACTCAAGAGGCATAAAATTCGTTTGTTTTGAGCAAAACGAAACTAAAGCCCTCAGACAATACCATAAAGCAAATATACTTGAAGTAAATAATTTTCTCTAACTCAAATAGTTAACTCTACATTCAGACCATCTAAGAACTCACTGTCTAGAAACAAGGATCATTGTATCAACAACGCAAAATCTATTCGGCTGGCTATGTATCACAACTATAATTTGTTTAGGCATTTCCTGCACCCCATATACACCATAAAAACACTAGGCAAGCGAACGCAAGTAAAAGTAAGTATAATTTACCAGTCAGGCAGTCAGGTTTTAGATGACGATTTCAGATCTAAGACGCTTGCTTGAAACGATGGTGCTGACTTTAGAGGGGGCGACTATTGATCCGGTTTTATGTGTTCCAAATTTTTGTAGTATCAAGCATTGTTGGACATGTAACAGAGACGTTTTCACTGAGGATTTCATTTCACGTTCTAACTCGCATTTCATTTGGTTTTTAACCTGACATGATGAAATATTCTATACCGACTTGTTCACAGCAGACAAATATTCTCAAATGCACGTTCTTAAAATGAAGTATTCAACGAAAACTACGCCCTTAAGCTCAACACTCACCTACTAAGTGAAAACGCTATATACTAGATTCCTAATGAACATTTGTAAAAGGACAGATAATCTC